TTTCCGCCGGTGGCAGCGTTTGCTTTGTTTTGTTTACGTTACTATTTCTCTTACACGGCGAATCGACCAATGATTACCGCTAAAAATATCACATGCCAAATCTCAACTTATAGCGCTTTTAAAAATGGAAACTGAAATAACCAGAGAGCATCAGATGCGGCAATCTCATACTATTGAGCTAGGCAGAAGTGAGTAGTCTTTGTCGATAAATCTCTATTTTAGTATTCACGAATTTATTTAATTAGCGCTTTTTTTCACGAATTTACTTGACGATATTTGGTTTATATCACGAATTATACTATAACACATTTCTAATAAGTTTAACGAATTACATGTCATTTATTTGAATTCAAATTTATTTCAATGACTTAGTATTTACTAAAAAGATGTAATTTTTTTTTAAAAAAAAGTTTTATTATGGATTTGAATGATTGTTTTGAATTCTTAGAATTTTGTGCATTTGCAATGTACCTAAGTTGGTAGAGAGCAAAGCGAGCTTGGTTTGCTAAGCAAACCATATAAGATTGCGTAGCAATTTTCGGGGGTTGGAGAGCGTTAGCGAGCAGGGGGCACCCACCACTAGTTTACAATAATACGCAAATGTCTATCGAGTGTCTCTTGTGAAGGTCAGCTAACGGACCCAAATTTCTTCTAAACAGACCCCTAATTAAGAAGACAATTTTTTTAAAANATCACTATAATCATATATCACTTAAATAATATGTTAGTGTGAAAAATTATTTTAATACGTTAATTATATGTTATATGCTAATATATTAACATAAAAAGCTTCAATTAATCTTGTTAATTATGTTATTCCCTTTCTGTAAATACTTTTCTTAATTTATTATTTAAAATTAAACGCTTTCTCACACTTTTAAATTCACATCCTGTCCTTTAATTTATTTTTGGCTCAAGTATGCAACTAAGACTTCCCTTATTCCCTAAAATAGAACATTTTACGAATTTACTTTGCAAGATTTTCCCTAACTTATATTGAGAAGCACAACAATTTCGTGACCACTTTGATAAACGTCCTCTGTCTAATAATTGATAAATAAATTTTATACCCTCCTTCCCTGCCTAAGACCTGTTTTTATCCTTCCACTCGGCAACGAAAAGATATTTAAAAAGAAAATTCAAACAATCCGGCTTTTAAAAAAATATATTTTTTAAATTATTTTATTTTATTTTAATAATCTATCTTCTTCTCTTTTCATTAATCTCTGATATTTTCCATGTTTTCTCTATATTTTTACCTTATTTCATGAGTTCTATATACTTACAGCTTATGATTGATATATAATTTTGAACCCAATGCAGAGGATAAGGTAACTCCTAGGTCTAATCATTGGTACAAACTAGCCTTAGAGGACTTTTTGATAGAACTAACCCACATTTGCTTTACATGGAGAGAGAAACCACGAAAACCCCCACAGTTTGCCAGATGTCAAGGGGATTCTAACCCATGATCCAACTGCCACTGATTACATTTTTACGACGTTTGTGGGATCCGGGAGCAAAATACGTTTCGGACAGCCATCGCTGGAATTCGAACCTGGGTCATATCATTAGCAGACAACCGCTCTATCCCTTGAGCTACTGAAATACCCCTCCCCCAGAAAATAAATTGGGTTAAGATGATTTCAATGCGTCCATATTGAATAAAAAATTAAAACTAAGAAAACTTTTATAATTGTATAAAAAGTTAAATTTTTATTAAACTAGTAACCTTACTACAATTGACCTGAACAATATTTCGACAAATAAACAATGTTTGTCAATCAACTTTTCCGTTACAATTAAATTATAATCAAGTCAATCGATAAATAAAATCAAGAACAATATTTTCCTCAAAATTTTGAGTACGAAATATTTACTCGAGCATTGTGTCATAGAAAAGATTTGCTATACTCCAACTCAGAAGACAATCGAATTGATAAAAAAAAGCAAAAAAATGTTTGATTCAATGAAAATGTTTTTAATTATGTATTAAAAAATATTACTCGATTAAATGCATCATCAGGGTGCGGAGCAAGATTTTTCAACAAAAAATGAGCACCTTTCAAGTACTTTTTAAGCACTCAAAAAATATTTTTAATCGCTTTCCAAAATAAAAATCATAATTAGGATCTGAGCAGCAATAAAAAAAATTTCTATTGTTTAAAGTTTTTTAATTATAAGCATAAACAAGGGTCTGTTTAGAAGAAATTTAGATCCGTTAACGGACCCTTCACAAAATATTTCAACTTAAAAACGGACCCTTCACAAAATGATTTTTCTTTTAATCGGATCCTTCACAAAATTGTTTATCTTCATTATTGCTTTGTTAATCGAATAATCCCTTCCCAGGCCGAAAACAGGAAAGATGGATGTAAACGAATTAAGTTTTGTCTTCGGCAGACGATTCTTCCATTATTCGTCCGAAATGAATATTCTGCGTTCAGCAGTATAGGCTAAATACCAAATATTTGTATGTTGCATCTCTAATTTAGAAGCTGCAATTGCTGTTTATTTTTGAAAATTTAATTTTTTTTATTATAATTTTACGCATAATATTGTATCTATTTACAATTTAAAAACTCATTGAAAAAGTTTTTTGCAATGACCGAACCCTATTTGCACAAATTCATAAAAGCGGACCCTGGTTGAAAGAATGTGAGTAATTTTTTTCACAATTTCACGAAAACCGGACCTTTCACAAAATGTCTGGACAGATCCCTGATAAAATCAACAAAATTCAAAAGCATTTTCACAAACTTCACATAATCATGATAAAATAACTAGTTTCTGATAAATACTGCAGAGAAAATTGAGAAAATCATGCATTTTTTGTAATTTAGAAAGACAATCGACACGGCAAAGAAAAAATCTCTCTTTAAAAGATAGAAAATTGAGCACTTTTTACAAACCCCGAATAAAAAAAGCACCTTTAAGGGCTTTTAAAAAAATGTAAATCAAAAATACGCCCCCTTTAAGCACTTTTTAAAAACGCTACGCACTCTGATGGTAAGACAATTATTCAATTTATATCTATTATTTTACGTTACTTATACTAATCAAAAAAATGCATCATATTTGAACGTTCATGTGGTTGAACCATTGAAAAAGAACAAAACTTAAACAACAAAATGGAAAAGAATATTGTAACTATTAAAAATAGAGCTCTTTGAGCATTTGTAAATTCCAAACCGCCATGATTAAATAATAATTAAAAATAATAACTAGTAGAAATCTGAATCTACCGAACAATTTCAATACTTTGTACGTTAAAATGTATCATAAAATAAAATACCTATACTTCTAGTTTCAATTTTTTTTTTTTTTTTTTGAAAATCGAAATACATACAGTGCCTGGCTAAATTATTAGACACACTATAAGATTCTATGTAAAATCTTAATTATTAGGTGATACTATAGAGCTGTATTGTTTTTATGTGACTGAAACCGGTTTGCACTTGTTTACGTTCGTGTATCAGTTGATTAAATTAGACGATATATTATATAAATATAGAATATCTATTACATAAGGTATTATATAAGTATATAATAATAATTAGACCAAATTATTAGAAGCATTGAAGTATTTTAATAATGGCATGTTTTGCACGAGTTTATAGGCAATACTTTTATAGTTAAACATACATGTAACGGGTTTTTATTCAGGAGATTTTTTATATACTTCCTGTTTGTATTTGTTTTTAACGTATTGCATTGCAATGTTAACCAATTGACACATTAACGTGAAGTGCAAACCGGTTTCAGCCACGTAAAACATTAAAGCTGCTTAGTATCAACTGATAATTAAGATTTTACATAGAATCTCATTGTGTATCTAATAATTTGGCCAGAGTCTGTAAAATAAAATCAACGATTTGTTAGTACCAAATACTTAGCTTTTAACTTTTACTATCATTAACAATTTTTTATACGATTAAGTGAATAATTTAAAAGAGTGGAAGTCTCTCAATTTAATAATTATTCAGCATTATTATGTCGTATTATTAGTACATTATTAGTAGTAGCATTATTTTATTTACGTCGCACATCAGAGCTGCACTATTGAGCTATTGGCGACTGTTAGGGACATGAAGAAATGCCATCACAGTTTTGATCTTCTCCCTTCTTTCAAAATAGTCCGGAATCGAACATTTCAACTATCGACCCCATAACTCTGATTTTATTGAATAAATCATAATCAAGAATTTTATATCTATACTGAAAATGCTTTTTTTTTTGCGATGCGAAAACATTAATTTCAATTAAATATAATTTTAGTATCATAATAAAAAAAATAATGCATTTTTTTTTTTAAAAAAAATCCCGTAGTAAGATTCTGTATAATCGGGGATTCTGAGTTAAAATTTAAACTTATAATTTTGAATAGCATTGAAAATAAAAGTTTATTCTGAACTATTCTAGAAATTATTAAAAGTCTATATACTCAAAAAAGTACAATAATAATGGAATTTTATCATCATAGAAAAAAAAAAGTTTTCTAAAAAAAAAAAATACTAATAATAATTATAAAGGAGGAAATTTTCGTGAGAGAGTCTTTATACAAACCATAGATGTAAATTGAAAAAACTGGGGTATTTTTGGATCAAAATTAAATAAGCTCTATAAAAAAAGAATTTTTTTTGCCGTCTAATTTTTTAAATACAGCCAAAGCCCTTATAGTAAATCTTCAAGGTACCGAAATTTCGGTTCGCTATAACCGGGAGTTCACCATATCCGTATTCCAAACAATTTTACGGGAGCGAACATTTCTTTCTCTATATCCGAGAGTTCACTATAAAGCACGTTCCCTATAGCGGGATTTGACTGTATATGCAGAAGTTAATTTTTATTTCTTCTGGATCTGTTAAATAATAATCGCTCTAGAAATCCAGTCCGGCTCTATTTTACGGGTAAAATTATTCCTCAAAAAATAATAAATAAATTATTTGTATTAAAGAATGCTAAATTTGTATATTAGCTTTCAAAAAAAGAAACTTAACTTACTCTTTAACTCACAGCCACTGTCATAAATCTTTCTACTTAAAATAGTTTTAAACAAGAGTTGAAACAAAATCAGATTAGAAAAAAGTTTTCGCGCACATGTCAAATGGATGAAACAACAAGTGCTGTGGGAAGAGCGGAACTACTGAAAGTTTGGACTACCGCCAAATCAAAAGTTTTCTGCGCATGCGTCACGTCAGGCAGACAAAATGTCTGACCCAGTTGCGTTATTCTTTTAACGGGATGTTAATCATTGCAATGGTGGGAAAGCCGAAGTAAATTAATGCCTTTTTTATACAAGATTTCTGATTGTTTGGAAACTGCAGGTCCTTAGAACCTTTTTAAACTATGAATTATCTTATTCCGTTGATTAAAATGCACGTTAAAATCGTTTGAAAGACAAAACAAAAGACATTAGAACTTTTAATTAGATTGACTTAAGTCAAACACCTGCATCAAGCAAAAGGAACGATGCAATATGATACTCAGAATTATTCTAATTTTCTCCTTCAACTACTCATAAGAAATGAATTGAAAGAAATTTCTGTCAAAGCCCGAAGTATAGTAAATCCGCGTTTACCGGTAACACATAAGATTTACCAAAGTGGCTAGGGAAAAAGTCCAAAGTATGTGTTAATATGATTCCATAGCGAACTTATACCGGTAAAACCTAAGAGTTATCAACTCTTTCCGGTAAAAGAAGGAAACGAGAGACAGGATTTTCTATTCACAGATAAAAAGAATCGCGCTGAGCGAATTCGGGACCACTAGTGACCGCAAAAGTACATTAAAAGAGGGGGGTCTCTTCCCCCCCCTGCATTTATACACACATATACATATATATATATAACATAAAAAGCTCTTCGATTAATCTTTTTATGTTATTTTCTTTTCTATGAAACAACTCCTAATTAATTATTCGAATCGAAACACTTTCTCATACTTTTGAAAAGCCACATCCTGTTCTTAAATCTATTTTTGGCTCAAGTATGCATAATTAAACGTAAAGACTTTTTTCCCCTTTTCTCTTTGTGGGAATCGCATGACCTTTTTCGAAAGCCAATAGTAATTTCTAAGATTTCCCTCTCTTCCCTAAATGGAGACATTTTCGGATTTTTTGCAAGATTTTCCTTGCCAGAGAGATTGATCGTCGATGGAGTTAACTTCACTTTTCGCTCGTCATCCATTTGAAAATGATCTAATAAAATACTTTTGCTTTCATTAAAATCCTGTGTCTGTTTTCCTGCTCGGTCCGACTGCATCATTTTACATACACAGGGTGATTCTAAAAAGATGGGGGAAATTTTAGGAAGTGATAGTTCACACCCAGACAAACAATTTTTATCAAAGAATGCATGGTCGAAAACAAAACGCAAAGGTGCTGGCGCATTTGGAAGTTTTTTCATGCAAACGAGAAAGCTCCATTCCTATTGCGAGTTACTCCACTACGTTATTTGCCGCTGAAGGGAAAGTTCGCCAATCATTTCTTCGCCGTTATACCAGCATAGCCGCTGCCGGCCACTGTTTTGAACACTTATTGTAATCACATGCCATTAAATTTGCTTTTATAACTTAACTTCATCGTTCTTTGTGTGTTTTTGCCTCATATAAGAACATAAATTTTGACGCCCTCCAGTGGTTTTGGGTTTTTTTTTCGACCATGCATTCTTTGATAAAAATTGTTTGTCTGGGTGTGTACTATCACTTCTTAAAATTTTTGCCATCTTTTTAGAATCACCCTGTATATATATATAGAGAGAGAGAGAGAGATTAGTTTGAATTACCTGTACCTCACAAAATGGCAATCAAGAATTCGAAATTGCAATTTTAACCTCATGGTGCGAATTGTTCTAAAATTAAAATTAAATCAATCAAAGAAATTGAATGCCTGTAAATTATTTACCTCTCATTTAACGTTTATTTATTTATTTTTGGATACTGTTTCACTTCTTTTTGAAATTCTTTTCGCTGGGATATTTGAAACCAAGACTTTCTCCCATCGATCAACAATAGGGACGTATATTTCCTCAGCGAGAAGTTGAGTAAGGGCTGATTTGGTAATAGTTTTCACCAAGAAATGCTAAAGCTTGCTTGAAATGGAAACATAATTTTTTTAGAAAGTCACTATTTAAAAAAAAAATTTTCTTAGAATTTCTTTAGACACAAAGAAATTATCCATTTTTTATTGTTAATTTAATTACACAAATATTGAGTGAAAAAGATGTTAACTTAAAAGGGGGTGCATCCTTTCATTTATAAAGTCTGAAATTCCGCCGACCCTGGGTACCACAAAGACAGCCCTTGACCCCAACGATCAGAATAAGGAACACAGGTGGCAATGACCCTTCACCATTAAAATACACCAGTGTAGGGACTACCGGACAAATATAGACGATATATTATATAAAT